CCAAGGCCCTCCAAATGGGGGGGACTTTGTTAAGTTCGAACATCAAGCCTCCTGGGAATCCAAAGGAAACTGATGGTAAAATAGAGTTTTGGTATGTATGTAAGGTGTCACTTCAGTTGAACGTCAGTCATACATAAAATCTGTGAAACCAGTTTCTTGTTGAAAACCCTTTGAGTTTTCTTTTCACTTTTAGGACCTCCGGTTCAAAAGGTTCTTTGGGTACCTGGATAATTCGATGTATGTGAGCCCCTGTGTGTTCAAGTCTCATCCCTATGGCTTCGAGTCGGACTCCCATCCCTCATTTCCTTGGTTGTCGTTGCGCTTGTTTTGGTTTTGGTCAATTTGTACACAGTTGTTTACAAAGTTGTTTGGCCGTCCACGCCATGAAATGTTTGATGAGCATATTTTTTCTTTGTTCATAGGGGGTCACTGAGGCGCATGCACCCTCGCAAGTCAGGCCGTGTATGCAAACATAACCTTCCATTCAACTCCAGCTGTCGCGACTGTATTTATTTCTATTTTTTTCGGTTTTGACTGAGCTGTGAATGCGCTGCTGTGATTAAAATGTGGGTTTTGGCGTAGTTTTGTCTCCGGTTTCTGACTTCAACCACTTTAAGGGCGCGCGCGACGACCACGCCGGTCTCCCATCTCCCACCCTCTTGACCCCTCCCACCCACCAAAAACAACCAACCAATCTCAAAAACTTTTCAACTCAAACACCATCATCAAGAATGTCTGCTACTTCTGCCCCAGAGAAAACCGACGGTGACCACATCGAAATGGTTGCCTTCGATCCCACACTCGAGCGCGAAACACAGCTCAAAGAAGCTTATGGTCAAGCTCAATTCGATGAAGTCTTGAAATTGGACGAAGAGCTACTGAAAGCCGAATGGGAAGCTTGTCAGTAATTCGTGTATTTTTCTCGTGACTGCTTGATTCTTTTTCTTTCATTTTACTATCAGGCCTATTTCCCCCGCTGTCCCATTGTCCTTCACCTGCCCTCTTCTTCCTTCTCCCTACTATCGAATCTGCCCAAGGCACGCAAGTGGTTTGGAACCCACATAGATGCGAATGAATTTTTGCGTTATTTTGCAACGCGCGCGTTCATGTCGATTGCGAAAAAACTAACATAGCTGTCCCCATTCTCCTCAAATTCAGACAACCACAAAGTCAAGCTACTCGAACCGATCTACAAGAAACGGAGTGAATTTATCAAGAAAATTCCCGGTTTCTGGCTCAAGGCTGTCAGTATTAATCCATCGAATTTTTTTTTTCTCCTGTGGAAGGGATCGCGTGTATATTTCCCCTTTGACTGAATGCGGTTTGTATGGTTGCGTTG